AGACGAACACATGGCACGGGTTCATAATATCTTTGACTGTTGGCTCTAGCTACGTAAGGAGGTCATCTAGCTGCTAGCAGTCAATGGTTGGTGACATGGCCTAGAAATGTTTTCATTTACACAAATGTATTCACTGCTTGAAACTTATAAGCTTCCTACACCTGTCAGTAACCCTAATTAAATTATCCGCCTTCCCATACGCTTTGATCTACTATAGTTTCATCGCATTCCATTTCCCTGCTTTTATAAGTGTTTTTCTGAAGTGTGTGATAAATCTGAAATGATACAACTTTGTGCAAAGCTGCACGCTATGAGCTCGATCGATATCCAGAATTATGAAATCTTCACCTTGCTGTCATTACCTGATCGTAAAAGTTTGATGACAATTTCTCCTTTTGCCCCTAAGCCTTTTACAAGTTATTACTGTTATTTTAACTATCTTATTATTCTACCCTTTAATAAATTTTCCTATGCATATACTATCACTCTAATATGTTTTTGATCAGTAATTCTATTGACCTTAACAACTCCGTATTATTTTAAAAAAAAGCATCAATGTTCTCAATAACAATTGTCCTTTAAATATTGTGTGTAAATGTATCGTCGTAGAGCCATATGAAGAAGTTACCGAAAAGAATATTCCTCTGATTGCCAGTAAGCTCTCGTCTTCTCCTCACACGGTCTTTTTCATGTCACACTCAGATACCCAACTCGTATTTTCCCATTCGAGTTCCACTCGAGGGTCTACCTGGCATGTGATATCACTTCAGAGTATATCCGATCCATCTCTGTTTTCTTCGGCATATTTATTAAGCACAAGGTTTGTTTGCATGGAGGATTTCATCATGAGCCGGCATCAGTTAGAGAACCACTGGAAAACCTGGGAGTACCGGACAGCCAGCTGTTTCGTCACAGTTTGGAACTCTTCATTAGTACGCACCCACCGGGGTTCGAACTCAGGACCTTCTGTTTACAAGGCTAGCGAGCTCGTAGACCATTGAGCCACTGGGACCTGACCCAATGGTCCTTGAATTCTAACTTCTGCCAAGTCACGACATAGCTCATGATGAAATCCTCCATGCAATCAAACAAATATCCCTACAAAACCAATACTTGAAAATTAATCTGATGCTCACTGGCAACTGGCCCTATTCAGGCAGTTTGCCTGGGATTCATGTGGGAAGCCGTGACCAGTAGGGTACAGCAGGTTGAAGATGAGGCAGTAACTCATCGAAGAAGACATTGGGAAATGGCCGCGCTATGTCGTGAGTTGTCAGAAGTTAGAATTCAAGGACCATTGGATCGAGTTCCAGTGGTTTAATGGTCTACGAGCTCGCTAGCCTTGTAACCAGAAGTTCCTGAATCCGAACCCCGGTGGGCGCGTACTGATGAAGAGTCCCGAATTGGGACGAAACAACTGTCCAGTACTCCCGGGTTTTCCAGTAGTTCTCTAACTGATATCAGCTCATGATGAAATCCTCCATGCAACCAAACAAAAATCCCTACAAAACCAACACAAGGTTTGTCTCAAGAACCCTTTGTTTCACATCCTTTCTGGCCCTCTGATTTTGAGTGTGAAGTGAGGGCAACTGTTGATGAAACTCTACAGTGGTCCGCTGGAGCAGTTTTCACGATACACCCACAAAGTCACTGAACCATATAGAAGCACTGACTGATTTGATGTTTGTGTTGAAAATTCGAAACTTGTTCTTTATGCTGAGTGTAGAAGATATCCACTCTGGTTTCAAGCTGATGAAAATATGTTCTCCTGTTATCCCTTTCGGATTTTTTTATTTGGGTTCTTGATCCGTCCCATCTGTAGGTAAAACGATGCTGCCCAAATAAGCGAAGGAAGTGATCTCTTTCAAATTTCCTCCATTGGTAGTGTGATTGGTGCTTTCTGTGGTTCGTTTTTTTTTATCTTCATTACCTTCACCTTCTATATGTTCATTTGAAGTTCCATCTTCACTGCTTCTTCTGCTGCCCACTTATTGATTCTCGCCGAAGCCGGCCGAAAGCCTTGTTTTACTCCTGTCGTTACCTTAAATGCATCTCTCACTTTTCCGTTGTGGATCATCTGACATGTGGCATTGTCATATAGCCAGCCGTTAAATGACGATGACAGAGAGTTAGGGCACTTCAAAGCGAACAACGACAGGAGAATTAGAAACTCAAGTTTATAGAAAATCAACTCACACAGACCAAATCCTGAATTACAACAGCAACAATCCAATAGCACACAAGAGGAATTGCATACAAACACTATTCAAGAGAGCCAGGACTCATTGCAGCACTCCCACCTTAAGGAAAATTGAAGAAAAATATCTCATGGACGTCTTCCAAAAGAATGGATATCCACAGAATTTCATCAAAAGACATATACCTTCAAGCCAACCTATCAAACCGTAAGCCCCCAAGGAAAGCACAAAGGAAATCGCCTTACCATACATAAAGGACATCTCAGAAATCACTACAAGACTCTTCAAACCTTTAGGAATTGACGTCGCACACAAATCAACAAAGTCACTTCACTCAATTCTATGTCAACCAAAAGACTCAACAGCGAAGGAAGATAAAACCAAAATCATTTACAAAATAGATTGTATCAACTGCGAAAAACACTACACTGGCCAAAGTGAACGTCCCGTTCGTCTTCGTATCCACGAACATAAGTTAGCTGTCAAAAGACATGACATCCACTCCCTCATATCACTACATACAGACAACCACGGACATCAATTCCACTGAGACAACGTTCGATTATTAGACAGAGGAAACAACAAGAATGCTAGAGAATTTTTAGAAGGCGGCCTGGTATTCCAGTGAATCACCAATCAATAGACACATCGAGATTGACGAAATTTATCAACCGATAAGAAAGAAACCTCACACACAGGGGGTCGAAGTTCAAGTCAAAGAAACAATGAAAAAAATACAAGTAAACTAGAAGGTGTGAAAACGCACAAAAACAACCAATCACGTCCAAGGTCACCGGGAGAGGTGATTAATAAACTCGTGGAGAAATCTAAAAGCTCACTTCAATGAATGGAAGTATACGCTGAAGATGTCACCTAGTAGGGTGATGAAAGCTTCGCAAATTAACCATCCTGCTCAGAGAACACAACCACATCAAAATCATCCACCTGAGCTACAAATCTTCTCTATCACTTCAAAGTGTTGATGTAGTTTCCAAAATACTCCGCTCTCGACGTTGTCGACGACTTTTTGACAGCCAATGAGGTTGAGGCAGAGGTTCACCTAGTACTATTCTATGCTGTGCTCAATTATGATGCCTAGAGTTTACCAACCACTTTTAAGCTCAAATAAAGTGGCGAGGTTGGGCTTGGTGACAGCAATCCTACCGTCAAAAAATCAACCCAATCGCTACAGATATTTCAAAACACAGCAAAAATATTTTTTTCTAAAAAATGATTAGTTTAATAGCATATATATTTCAAACTCGAATTTACAAGGTCAAATACATCTATATATATGTGTATCGATTTTATTGATTTTTCACTTATTGAAAAAATCATTAAATCACACCACAACTTTTTTTTATTCAGAAACCGTAAGTCTTATGCAGAAAGACATTATAATTAGATAGTAAAAGTAAGTATAAAGCCGAAAAAAAATATGTTTCTTAAAGATAAAGTATTTAGCTAGTTAGTTAGTTAATTATTCAACCTTAGAGTTAGTCAATATTTACACTGTCTCATTACTTACTTAGATAAACAAACAAGAAATACAGACACCTTTATAGACGGATAGACAGACAAACAGACAGAAAAGGTTGTTTGATTTCACTTTCCAAATTCAACGAACGGAATGCAATGTATAAACTATTCTTTTGTCTATCAGCTGAAAAAATCGACTATTACAAGAGTATGAAGGTGATCAATAGTGAGTAGCCATACACAATTAAAACAAACAGAATATCATGACTTTTATTAATATATATTTATATATTCACAAGTAGAAACTGATTTTTTAGTATTGGGAAGTCAATATACAACACTCATCGAAGACAATATACATACATACAACAACATGTACTGCAATAAAATAAAGCTATTTGTGATACTTTTACTACTGATATTATTAATTTAAGTAGTAAGGATAATAAAAGATTCTATCATCATCACCTTCAGAAGAATAAGAATAATAATAAGAAGAAATGTATTCACAAAGTAAAAAGAGATGAGTATGAAGAGGATTTTCAAGAAAATAAGTACGGAAAGTCGAGGCTTTGGAGTTATATCAGCAGAAGTAGACATTATCTCCCTACAGTCTTTGTTCTTTTGAAGAGCAGTATATCCAACTATAAGCCAATTACTTTTTTACAACAGATTCTTCTGTGCTTTGAGGTTTTCTTCTCCCATGAGTGAGTGAGAGAGAGAGAAAAAGAGAGAGTGGGAGGGGAGGGATAAAAGAAAGGCAAAATACAAATGCCACTCCCCATCCACACACGCATATATGCACAAACGCAGGCATACTTGTTTTTGCCATATCTCAAACCCAAAAAATGATACAGTTTCTATTTTTTTTGAAGAAGCAGAAATCCAGAAAGTGGAATAGATACATTTTTGTCTTGTTTTCTCCAAAAGGAGATGAGAAATACGTGGGGGGGGAAGCTTGAATTAAAAACTGACATTGATGTGACTGTATTTTTTCAAAATTCTTGTTATTCTTGGCAAACTTGTGCGTGTGTGCGTCTGTTTGTCTGTGCTCTCCATTTTATTCATGTTTCTTTCTTTATTTATTTATTGATAGAGGGAAAATAATTTTTTGAGCAAGCAGAAGGAAAAAGGGAAACAAACAATTTAAGGTTTCAATATTTCTTTCTTTTTTTCAATGTTCAATAGTATCACTGAATTGCTGTTTTGTTTAAAAGTGTATTGATTATTGAAGAAGCATTAATTAAAATTATTATTATTTCCTATTGTCTAACATTTCAACCATCGATCCGAATCTTGATAATGAATAGGTAGCTGTGGATTTTCTGACTTGTAGAGAACCAAGCAGAAGGGCACAGCAGACAGGCAGGGAGGTGGGCAGACAAGCAGCATTCTGTTACACAGTAGCGATTATTCTCACTTCTTATTCACCTTGACAGACTGTTTCTTCGTCGAAATGGAGTAGGTGAGTAACTTTGATTGTGAACAGATGATGTATACGGCGGATAGCTGGATGCATAATAAATCTAAATAGGAAAACGGAAACAGAGCCGAAAATCAATGGAAGAATATTAAAATATTCATACGTTTAAGTTTCTATAGTTTGGTTTGTAAGGATTAGTTATGTTTTACGAGCTGATCACGAACCGATATCAGTTAGAGAACCATTGAAAACCAGAGAGTACTGGACAGCTACTGTTTCATCCTAGTTTGGGAATGGATGTCCCACCAACGACAATGGTTGGGGTCGCGCTAAATCACGAATTAGAATTCATGAGCCATTGAATCGGGTCCCAGTGGCTGAATGGTATACGAGCTTGACTTGTAACCGGAAGTTCCTGGTTTTGAATCCCAGTGGGTGCGTACTGCCGATGATTCTCAGTCCAGTACTCCCTGGTTTTCAATGGTTCTCTAACTGATATCAATCCGTGATCAACTCGTTCATACGATTAGTTTATTTTCTATGACCAGTGGTGATAACTGCCAGTGGAGTCTAGGAGGCGTGTTTCATCTCATCAAGTGTTTTTTTCTTGTTGAGCTGAATGTGGCTTTCATTCAGTGAACTGTGGTGAACCGACTGGGACTCGAACGAAGCAGTCATAGTGCCGGCACACCTAAAGCACTGCCTCTTAGATATGACTGGCTATGACGGCCAGCTTTTATGGCATAGCTATCAAGAAAGTCGAATGAACGAAGTTGTTTTTATTCATATTAAAGTGAAATTATTCCCAAGAGTTGCGTCAAAGTTGACGCTCAGGCTAAAGATTAAGTTTGAGTAATTGTCAAACTTATTCAACAGCTGTACGACAACGGCACATGTCAAGTGATCCACAACGAAAAAATTCAGCGAAGCGTTTGGAGTAAACACAGGAGTCAGACAACAGTGCTTATTATCACCAATGATATTCCTAACTGTGGTGGACTGGACTGGATTATGCGTCAGACAGTGGGAAACGAGAAGACAGGGATATCCTTAACCGACGTGAAAAACCTATAAGATCTGAATTTCACGGACGATTTATGTTTGATGTCACACAAAATCGAAGACCCACAAGAGAAAACCGACAAACTGGTCGAAGAAGCAGCAAAAACAGGACTCCAAGTGAACATAGACAAGACAGAGGTTATGAAGATAATCAAACAACAACAACAGCAGCTGCAGCAACATCCAGCGCCAATCACCATCAACGGGAGGGATTTGAAAGAGGTTACTTCATTCACTCACTTATCTAGGGAGCATTGTCTCAACTACCGGCAGGTGGAACGGACGAGGATGTCAAATCGAGAATCGGGAAGGCGAGAAACACATTCATCAACCTGAATCCAATCCAATCTGGAAATCTTCCGCTGTCACTCAGCATCTACAACGTAATTCGGATTTTCAATACAAACGTCAGTCAAGTCAGTCAGTTAGTTCTTCTATATGGATGGATCAGAAACTTAGCGGCGGGTCACAGAGAATGAGTATTTCCAACAGCCTGTTGCAGACCTTTATCAACAACTAACTGTCTTCGCTGGCTCTATACTGAAGATCAGATGGTCGGAAAGAACAAGAACCAACAAGAAACAATCTATGGGAAGAAACAAAACAAGAACCAATCGCCCAACAAATATGCAGGAGAAAGGTGAGATGGATTGAACACTCACTGGCTGAGGAGGCCACTCGCTAGGTGACATCGCGCGTCAGGCCAGTGCCTGAGTGGAACAAGAATGGGAAACGGTGAGTGGGACGTCGAAGGGTGACATGGAGGAGCTGAAACATTATGGGCTAACTTGGATGCAGGTGGAAAGTTCAGCAGAAGACAGAAGCAAATGGAGATGTGTAGTTGAAGCCCTATGTTCCACTAGGAATCCAAGGGAACAATAATAATATAATATCTGTTGGAATATGTCTGCTTCTTACATAGACAACAATGTAGCCCCCATCCCCTGCCTTTCACAGCGTCTGTCTCTCCACAATGCAACAAGACATACAAGATTGATTGAGTTCATCCACTACCTTAAAAATGGGTTTGAATCGCACAAGCACTTGATTTATATCAGTGAAGGAATTATGGATACAGTGATTAGTCAGTATGGAGTAATCAGTGGCATGCACATAGGGCTTAGTGGGAATGCTGACACAACTCAGGCAATCGACTTTGCAGTGTGATTGTGAAGTTAACAGACTTACCATATAGATGCAGTTTGAATTGACTTTAAGTGGTTAGAGACAGTACACAAGAAGTTGTGAAACTAAGTTTCACGCTTTTTGATACTTGCCAGTAAGACTGTTATCTATTACCTCAAAGAATGGGATCCCTGTCACCTAGTGTTGCGGTCAGACTACGGTTAGAACTGAGCACTATTCGAGCTTAGCAAAGACTTCAGGTAGGACTGTAGGCAATAGAGTGATTTGCAACTATTGGCCAACGTCCAGTATCTAGTTCTCCGTGTAACTGCCTACCATACCTCTGACAGCAGCACTTGATGACGTGAGTTCAGATGTTGCAGAAAACATCAGTTCTTTGGAAAAAATTAGAGACACGTCTTGTTAATAAATGCCAGCAAGCATAAAATCTAGCTTCAGAGCTTCTCGGAGACTGCCTTAAATGATAAAAATCAAACAGTGAAAATGCTTGCACATCAACATACATGCGAATAGATTTAAAGGGACGCTCAATCCTTCTCCTAAGATGTGGTCAGTATATGTGCACAGTACATTTACAGTGTTTTAATATCTCAAGAAAGAAAATATCTGATTGACAATTAATATTATTATTGTTCCCTTGGATTCCTAGTGGAACATAGGGCTTCAACTACACATCTCCATTTGCTTCTGTCTTCTACTGTACTTTTCATTTGCATCCATGTTGGTCCATACTGTTTCAGTTCCTCTCCACACGATCTCCTCCATGTCACCCTTCGACGTCCCACTCACCGTTTCCCATTCTTGTTCCACTCAGGCACTGGCCTGACGCGCGATGTCACCTAGCGAGTGGCCTCCTCAGCCAGTGAGTGTTCAATCCATCTCACCTTTCTCCTGCATATTTGTTGGGCGATTGGTTCTTGTTTTGTTTCTTCCCATAGATTGTTTCTTGTTGGTTCTTGTTCTTTCCGACCATCTGATCTTCAGTATAGAGCCAGCGAAGACAGTTAGTTGTTGATAAAGGTCTGCAACAGGCTGTTGGAAATACTCATTCTCTGTGACCCGCCGCTAAGTTTCTGATCCATCCATATAGAAGAACTAACTGACTGACTTGACTGACGTTTGTATTGAAAATCCGAATTACGTTGTAGATGCTGAGTGACAGCGGAAGACTTCCAGATTGGATTGGATTCAGGTTGATGAATGTGTTTCTCGCCTTCCCGATTCTCGATTTGACATCCTCGTCCGTTCCACCTGCCGGTAGTTGAGACAATGCTCCCTAGATGAGTGAATGAAGTAAACTATTTCAAATCCCTCCCGTTGATGGTGATTGGCGCTGGATGTTGCTGCAGCTGCTGTTGTTGTTGTTTGGTTATTTTCATAACCTCTGTCTTGTCTATGTTCACGCGCGAAATACAGGTCTTCTAGGTTCTTCATGTCGGTTCAGGATATCCCTGTCTTCTCGTTTCCCACTGTCTGACGCATAATCTAGTCCACCACAATTATGAATATCATTGGTGATAATAAGCAGCCTTTTCTGACTCCTGTGTTTACTCGAAACGCCTCGCTGAGTTTTCCGTTGTGGATCACTTGACATGTGCCGTGGTCGTACAGCTGTTGAATAAGGTTGATGAATATTTGGGGTACTTCTTAGTACTCGAGTAGTTTCCAAATTATTTCGCGGTCAATGCTGTCAAAGTCTATGAAGTTGAGGTAGATGTTTGATTGCCATTCCATGCTTTTTTCTGTGATAATGATGATGCGTAGAGTTGCAATTTGGTCAGAACATGATTTGCCTTTCCTCAATCCAGCTTGTTCTAGTCGGAGTTCTGTAACCAGTGCGTCCTTTATTCCATCCAGGATGATGCGACTCTTTAAATAAATTCAACTCTTATCTGTAAAAGTCAGTTTAATTTAATGTTGTTTTGGTAATTGGGTTCAAATTTTAAACCCACTTAGAACTCATAATAATGCTGGAATTTGAGTGGTATCTAACCCTATCCCAAAGACAAACTTTTTCAGCTTAAGGATCCCATTGACACAATTAGACAAAAAAAATTTAATTTAACAAATATTGTATAATAAATGGGAGGTCAAGAACATACGTCTTAAATGTTAAACTCGAAAAGGATGAGTAATTTACAAAAGAAACTTAACCAATGTGAGAGATAGAGATTCTAGCAGAGAGTCTGGCATCCTCAATCATTAATATAGTTCGGTAAAGAGACAGAACGGCTGATCTCAAACAGTCTCAAACAGTCTCTCAAACAGTGACTCTGAATCTACCATGGTAATACGTTTTACTTATTATTCTATCTCTTATTATTATTTTATTATTACTATTATTATTCTCATTATTATTATTCTTGATTCATTTAAAACTATCCTTTATCAGTAGCATTATCTTAACCCACTTCAACACTATTATTATTATTTTTATATTATATTATTGTTATTATAACTATTACTATTGACATCCCTCTGGTCGCAATTCTTGTTAAATTCTCTAATGTCTAATTGTTTATCTAAGTGATGTAATTGAAGCGTAATGCAATTTATCTTGATTTTGATCTCCCATACACTCTCTCCCCTTATCTAATTGCACATGACCTGGAAAAACATTCGTACCTGTCTTTCTGCATGACTAATTCAATGTAGTTTATTTACTTATCAGTCCTATATCTCCCAATGTAATTTCAAAACTATATATATCCGTGTATGTGAAGTATTCAGTCCTATATCTCCCAATGTAATTTCAAAAGTATATATCCGTGTATGTAGAGTATTCAGCTGACGAGTTCTACCGAAATTTGATGAATTCATTAAATCCTGCTTTATTAACTTTCATTGCTTGTTTCAAACAGTCTCTGTTCACCAAATCAGCAGTCCGTAACTGCAGTGGGAATGACGCAACACTAGTCTTCAATATACGGAAAACTCCACTATAAAACCTTAGTAAATTACAAAGATATATCAAGCAACCTAGGTGAACATGTGACTTCAATGTACACAACGGAATGAGAGTGAAAGATATACTGCCTGGAGTTGATTTTAACACCTCTGATACTCATATATATGGTAACTTCAGCTGTTTTTCTTTAAAATTAATTCTCTGCTGATAATTGTGGTGAGAGCTGGCTGCCAAAGTTGGTAGACAGTAAGTGACGTCAATTTTTATGTCCCCAGTATTGACGGATACAGTTAGCATATAGATGATCTGACACAGCCACAAAGAGATGCAAGGTTAACTTTCTGTGAGGAACAACCCATCAAAAGACTGTATTTTCTACTAAACAATAATCTACAGTGATGTACATCAAAATCTATAAATATGTGTTGATTTCGCTTGATAAACGATCTGTTGTCTGGCCCTTGTCTTCTGTTGTTACGTAACGACTATTTATCTATGAGATTTGGCTGACCAACTTACGTGCTCGAATTTGAGTCGTTGACTATGATGTCTGTATCCTGCTTCACTCCTTCAGAATGAGTAATTCAGTAGTGCCAATAGCCCTTACGCCAGAAGTGGAGCTCATAATGTGGTGCATGTAAGCGCCTGTTCCACGTAACTGAGATCTAAGTAACCAACTTCCACCCCATCCACCCCTCCCCCGCGTTCCTTGTTCCAAGGGAAAATACTCCTTAAAACTTTCTAATTTGTTCAATATTCAAAAATTAATTATTGTGAAATGCGTCGGTGGCATAGCGGTTAGGACGCTCGCCGACCATGCGCGTGGTCCGGGGTTCGATCTCCGGCCGACGCACTCCTTTACCTCGCTAGGCCAGAAATAAAAGCTGGTAGGGAGGAAAGGTTGGGAGTGAGGCTAGCAACCTCATCCTGTAAAATAAATACTGCTACAGAAAATTCAAGCCTCTAGCTTGAAGCTCTATGTTCCACTGGGGAACGTGAAGGAAAAAAATTATTGTGGAAAAATAAGGTGGAAAAACACTCTGTTACTCGCCTTCATTTCACCCACCTTACGCACTGGGATGCGTATAATCATACGCGCTAGAATTGATATCATATGAAGACAAACCAACAATCCACCCATTGCTATCATGACTGTCAAACTGGTCAACATTAAACGATAAACAGCATTAATTAATGTTGACAGACTTCCAATTGATGTGGTTATTTGTTCATAATCAAAATCTAATTGATTTCCATCAGTTTGAGTAAATTCATCAGTTTGATTGTTCGCGGAAAAAACTGACATCTTACTTTTCTGTTTTTTCAAATTTTTTTTCGGGTGGTGGTAGTCCTGGTCATTCAAACTGGTCATTCTTAATAATCGTGACAGATGACCTTGAAATTAGAAAAGTAAAACAAAAATAATCAAAAAATAAGGATATGAAAAAAAATTGAGGTTGAAAATCAGAACAATCTGTCCATCTGTCGTGGTGTTTGTGTGTGTGTGAGAGAGAGAAAGGGGAGAAACAAAAAAGGAATAAAGTTACTCTTGATTTTTCAATCTGTCTGATTGTTTGTCGAAATTATTTTTTTTTCATTATAAGGAATAGTGGAAAAAATTGTACACTGAATTATCGAATTTCATTTGAACAAGTTAGAAAATTGAAATGTGAATGACTTTCGGTTTAATGTACGGAATGACATGCTCAGAATGAAAAGTCTTTTATTATTAGTTGAACGTCAAATGAATATTTGTGTGTGTGTGTGTGTGTGGAGGGGAGAGATGATTTCTTATGAAATCTGACACCTGTTCCTATTTAATGGAAACGTAGTAGTAAAATGGATTCTATCGGATGACAACGAGACCCTATCTGACATTATTTGGTTTATTCGTCCGTCTCTCAAGTTGGTAAGAGTTTACTATACTATCTGCCATTTAGCAGATAAGATTAGCTAAGTTCTACATGAGGAGAGTTACTCAGCAGTGACATTCTAGGATGGTTGTAATGTATTCTCGAGCTGAAGGAAGTGAAAGAAAGGGTCTCATGAATCCATATCAAGTGAATGGATAATAATCTAGTAACCATGACACACTTCTATTCACTCTCAGATAAGGTTTACGATGGAGTATCCACATTGTCTCGGATTATTCTTCAGGTAATATAGATATCTGGACATCTTTCTCTGTCTGTCTGTTTTCCACATAGAACTTTGCGCATATGTGCGCCAGTTCAAGTCGCCACACTCCCTCCATGTAGCACACAAAGCAACAGAAGAAAGTAGGAGAAATGCATATTAGAGACAGTAAACAGAGGTGTGAGACAAAGGAATAGTAATAACGAAGAACAAAACAGTTTAATTGGAAATCATGAGTCACAAGGAGTGGATGCATCTGTGCCAACTATTGAGAACGATTTTGAGCTAGCCATGTCACCAATTGTTTCCAACCTTCATTGGTTTTTACCGTCCCGAGGACCCCAATCAGTCAGGAAGTCTACACCTTCCTACGTGGCTGGCTTAGACTAACTGTTGTGGATTTCATTGACTGGTGCCATGTTTTGGTTTGACCGCCGCTAGCTCTTTTCCATCCTGACCCTATGTCAGCTAACATTGCCCATTGTCGAGGAAGGCGATGACTAGGCATACGTAACACATGTCCTAACCATCTCAATCGATGTAATTTCACAGTCTCGTCTATTGATTTTCCCTCCTTACCTAGTACTAGACACCTAACCTCAATATTGCCCACCTTATTATACCATCCAACACGGGAGACACTTATAATCAATGACAGATAATCTTTTCATGTCTTCCGCTCTCAATGGCCAGGTCTCACAGCCATAAGGGAGGACGGAGCGAACTGATGAGCAGTACACACGCCCTTTGGTCGATAGTCGGATATCACGTCTACGCCATAGACGGCGTAAACTGGCATATGCGAAACTAGCCCTCTGTATTCGTGCTGAGATTTCGTCAGAGATCAACCCGTTGGCACTGGCTGATGGTACTTCCCAAGTAAGTGAAGTGGTCAACGTGCTCTACCACTTCACTTCCTATATTTAATCTAGGGGTCGGTGTAGTCCAATCTTGTAACATCATCTTACATTTTACAGGGGCGAATCGCATGCCAAACATACGAAGATTGCTGCTCAAGGTGTTTAGAAGACTCTGCATTTTGTCAGCGTCCTCGCCTAGAAGGACTATATCTTCTGCATATTCTAAGTCAAGGAGATTATTCCCTGGTAGCAAGTCAATCCCTGAGTCTCTGAAGTGAGTTAAGAGACATCTGGGCATAGCTGGTACTTGTGGTAATTAATTACTGAATAAAACAGAGACCAAAAGATATAGATAAAAATTAGGTTACCCACCCAATAAAACTATTAACTAACATTCAATGAAGTAGCCAAGTGATGTGTTGTACAGTACAGCACATTTGTTGGATTTAACCTGTATTCTAACCATGATGCTTGAAAGTAACATTTTACAAATAAAACATAAGGGCATTCACTGCTGGTCGGTGTATTACATAGACATGCAAGCCGATGGGTAGATTCGAAATTCCGTATATGCTATCTTCATCAACTTCGAATTCAAAGGGAATAAAGCTTAGGATATGCTCAAAATTCGTCTTTCTAAATCGGTCAGTAAGACGTACTTTGCAGCTAAACTTTAATCGACCTTCACCAACCATTAAGTGTTCTCCGTCTCCGTAAAAGATAAGGCCCTTGTCTATCTGCATCCAAGTGCATCTATCAGTTCACCTGCTTTTATGGAGCAGAACTCATCATCTGTAGCTAGCCATAGAATGCTTTCCAGACGGATAGAAGTAGTACATATTACAGCATAGTTTCACTAGGGAGAAAGAAAGAGTGTACGAAGCTCTATTCTTGAACAAATTATAGACTCCTGTTACTCTACCAAAACCGACTATGATTTTAAGATCATCCATCTATGGAATCCACGCTAACTTGCTGCAGTTTTTTCTTCTCAAACTTCTAAAGACAGCGGAGGCCATGGTTATTATTCATTCATGAACTTGAGCTAGACCTTTGTGTACAAAAGAAGTATATACAGTCCATATTCCTACCTTAGTAGTAGTAGAGGGATGAACACTTGTTTATTTAGTTTTTGCTTTGTTTATTTAATCTATGTAATTTTCTCTTATCATTGTAATTGTTGTTATTTCTATTTTCACTTTAAACAGTTTCCGGTATTGTATCACTTGTCCCATTTGTTATTTTGACTATGCTAAATTCTATCATATCATACTGTTTAATTGTAATAACTTCACATTTCTTTCCAGCTTCTGCATATTCTACGGACCATTTAATCTATGAAACTATTTGTTTTATCCCTTGACAGTGAAGTACGATTACTACAGCCACAAATATTTTATCGCGTTTCCCATTATTATTTCAGGTATTCACGTCTTTCTTTGAATCCCCTTATAGATATTATTATTATTATTGTTCCCTTGGGTTCCTAATGGAACATAGGGCTTCAACTGCACGTCTCCACTTGCTTCTGTCTTCTGCCCTACTTTTCACTTGCATCCATGTTAGTCCATACTGTTTCAACTCTTCTTCACACGATCTCCTCCATGTCACCCTTGCACTGACGTCACACTCGCCGCTGCTTCCCTTTCGGGTTACACTCGAGCTATGGCCTGAAGCGCGATGTCACCCAGCGAGTGGCCTCCTCAGCTCAGCGAATGTCCAATTCATCTCACCTTTCTCCTGCATATTTGTTGAGAGATTGGTTCTTGTCTTGTTTCTTCCCATAGTTTGTTTCTTGTTGGTTCTTGTTCTTTCCGGCCATCTGATCTTCAGTATAGAGCCAGCGAACACAGTCAGATGTTGATAAAGGTGTGCAACAGGCTGTTGGAAATACTCATTCTTTGTGACCCACCACCAAGTTTGTGATCCGTATAGGAGAACCCGCATAGATGTAGTTACCTAGAAATTATATATATATATATATATATACATATATATAAATATATATATATATATATACATGTGTAAACACGATTTTGTAGACTGGTAATGAATTTAAGTGTTTGTTTGCAGGGATTTGATTGGTTTGAGGATTTCATCATGAACTGACATTGAGGACAACTGGGAAACCTGAGAGTACTGGATAGATGTTTCGTCCTGGTTTGGGACTCTACATCAACACTCACCCACTAAGGCTCGAACCCAGGACAAAACAGATGTACAGTACTCCCAGGTTTTCCAAAGATTCTCAAACCGATGTCAGTGCGCGACGAAATCCTGAAACCAATCAAATCCCTGCACACCAACACTTGAATGTCAATCTGATGCTCACTAGTGACTGGCCCTATTCAGGTAGGTAGGAAAGTCGTACAGAAGATTGGGTGTGAAGACAAATGCTCACTACAGATGACATTCGTTAATGGTCGCGCCATATAGTGATAATTGACAATAAGTTTGTCGAAAAGAGTTTCTTCGCCGAATATTATGTTCTTAATGTTACACTGGGAATTATTTAATTAAATATTTTAATGGCAACAGAGTGAACCTATCAGATTAAGTTGTTGATCAAAGTAATGCAGAGAGGCTTCAGAAAAATATTTTCAACACAATTTCCACTCCTTTCCTCCTCCTCATCTGTTCTACCTCTAAGTTGTTTCGAGTTTCTTTTATTTTCAGAGGGTTAGGAGATTCAAAAAGGAACAACTCTGTAGTGTTGTATACATTATTAAACATACTCTCTAAACAGATCGATCGATAAAATATACCTTGGAAGAAGAATTTCTGGATTCGCTGAAACAGACTCTTAATCTCCTGAAGACATTTTATCTACAGATGTAGCTTCACTTTGCAGTGTCAGTGGCAATGGTGTTATCGCTTATTATTACTAAGTGCGGTTGACAGTTCCACCCACTACAAACATTCTCTCATTTCCTGTCGTACTACCTACCGGGGCTCATTAACTAAGTGACATTTAACAGTATGTCAGGGTTTAAATCCTCAATGAACCGTACACATTTACCCTCTCTCTTTCACTAATTCACTCATTCACTCACTCACTCACTCACCTGACTGTCCGATTGAACTCGGTTGGATAGTAGGAATACTATTCCAACACGCATGAATACATTTAAAATTATGTTCAATAAGTAATATGGATTGAAATATGAAATTCGCATTTCCATTATCAATATATTAAATCACGAAGATGAAGAACAGAATTATATGAATGTGTGTGGGTATGTGTGATTTTTCGAAGGGGTCAAAAATGAGATAGATAGGAAGTATTTCTTCTCTACAAGATGATTAATTTATAGGAACTGTAGAATTCTGTGTGGTTTGTGTAATGCTTTGTAGACGAAACATCACAACAGTAATGTTTCAGTAATCTGTCCGTACCTT